TCTTTCATGGAGAAATCAACAGAATGTGGTTAGGCCTCTCTAAGATTTTAGCTCAAGAAAAGAAGCCATCACTTGAAAATATGATCGTAGCCATTCATAAAAATAGAACAAGTATGCAATGAAAACGAAAATAGCCATTTAGAATCAATAATTAATGTTGTAAAACCAGTAAGTGTCGATCAAGAACCTAGAAATCCAAGTAGGGCAGTTGGCAAGCTTGATCAATGGGAGAGTTCAAGGTACCTTATCGAGTAACACTCAAACGAATCCAAAGGAACATGTTATGGCAATCACCTTGAGAAGCAAGAACATTTGACAAATACGAGAATGGATAGAGGAACCAAAGAAAAAAAGGTTGAAGTGGAGCAAGAAAAGGAGAAGAAGAAAGCAATACTCAGGCTCTATATGCCACCCGTTTTAATTTATATAGTGCCTCAAAAAGCATAATGAAGATAATAATTTCTTTAAATTTCTTGATGTATTTAAAAAACTTCACATCAATATTTCTTTTGCATATGCACTTATTCAAATGCCAAAGTATGTGAAATTTCTTAAGAAAATTCTAGCAAAGAAAAGGAGTTTAGAAGATCATGAGATTGTTACACTTATTGAGGAGTGTAGTGCCATTATTTAGAATAAGCTACCGTTTAAAGTGAAAGATCCAAAGAGTTTTACTATACCATGCAATATTGATAGTTCTTATTTTAAAAATGCTCTTTGTGATCTTGGTGGTAGTATTAACTTAATACCTTATTTTATGTTTAAAAAGCTAAGAATTGGTGAGATGAAAGCCACAATAATGTCATTGTAACTGGTAGATAGATCAGTGAGATACTTCTTGAGAATACTAGAGGATATGCTGTAAAGTTAGAGAACTTCATATTCCTTGTCGACTTCATAGTTTGGGACATGGAAGGATAGAGAAGTTTCACTCATACTTCGGAGACCCTTACTTGTGAAAGCCATATCACTAATTGATGTACAGGATGGTAAGTTAACAATGAGAGTTGGGGACGAACATGTAACATTTTTCATGCCTCAAAATTTTCTTCGGACACTGATAAATGCTTTAATACTAATATAATTAATGAGTATGTGTCCAAAATGCTCACTAAGATAGAAATAAACCTTGATGTTAAGGAAGCAGCCAAATCAAATGAAGAGAATGATCAAGAAAAGGACGGGGCAAGGCAAGAAGTATTAAAAAAAGGTATGCATATTTGGAAGGAGATTTCGAGACATTGAGTTATTTGGTGCAAAGTCGAGCTAACGACTATAAACAAAGTATTGGTTGGGAGACAACCCAATATAGATGGTATTAGACAGATAATTACAATTTTATTTATTTAGTTTATTTGATAGAATCTTAGATTTTTTTCATTTATTTATTTCTTTTATTTTTTTATTTTTTTTTTTTTGCACCTCTCATACTTTATAATTGTGTCACTAAAGCTTGTGGATTCTTAAGTGAGGTCCAACTAATATGTTTTTTCGATTATGATGATATCTGCTTTGTAGTAGAACAGTTCTCGGTGTAAAATTCTAGAATTTACTTTTGGAGCAGACTACGTGAGCACCATGTAAGGGGAGTATTTTATTTTTTCACTGCTTTTTTTTTTAATTTTCTTGTGTATAATGTGCTCATAAACAATAAGGACACTGTTCATAATTAGTTTAGGGGTATTGGGTCTTTAGAGCTTTAAATTGCCATTTTTTAATTTATCTTTTATATATATATATATATATACATATACTAAAGAGATAAGTTTTTCACCATAAATAGTTAGTGAAACATGACAGAATTAAGATTTTAGTTTAGGGGTATTGGGTCTTTAGAGCTTTAAATTGCCATTTTTTAATTTATCTTTTATATATATATATATATATACATATACTAAAGAGATAAGTTTTTCACCATAAATAGTTAGTGAAACATGACAGAATTAAGATTTTATCCTGACTAACATTGTGGTTAATTTGAAAAGAAAATAAGATATGTTTGCAAATAATAATTAAATTAATTAATGATTTTTTTCTTAACTTAATCGGCGTAAAGATAATTGTATAGGAACCTAATATAGGACATTACACTTGTAACATAAAAAATATGAATTTAATTTTTAGCTTTGAGATAGTCCTAAACTAAGGTGTAAGTGAATAAAACAAATTAACTAACATGTGATACGTGAGATAGAGCGTAAAACACACTCATTCGAGAAAAAATAATAATGATAAATATTTTAAGTGAAAAGATGAGACCGAGTGTAAAATATAAAAATAAGTAAAATTAAATAAAATATAATTTATAAATCAAGAATAGAGACTCAGAGAAGGAACTTATGTGTTGAAATTATACAAATTTTGTTGAAGTGTATAGGAGTTAATAGTCTATTTATATTTTGTAACATTCATTTTAAAATTTTAATTGATTAACAATTGCAAGAAATGAATAAACTTTTAAATTATCAAGCTAAGCAGATGAAGGTTGTAGACAAGTGTGCTCTTACGTATTTTTTTTCAGCCTTTCGCTTGAGGACAAATAAAAATTTAAGTTTCGAGATATTTGATGTACTATATTTTAACCACTCTTTTTCCTCAAATTTAAAAGAATTTTTTAATAAAGGTTGAATTAAAAATTAATTAATTAGTAAAATTTTAATGCAAGTGAAGAAAAGAGAAAAACATGCTGAAAAGAAAAGAAGAGAAGAAGAAGAAGCCGAAGGCCCAGACTACAGGAGTCCAAGCCCAAATCCAACAGCCACATAAAAAAAACTAAAGAAAAAAAAGGGTAGAAGCAGAAAGAGGCATGCATATTTAAAATTTAATTTTGAACTTTCTTATTATTGTAATTTAGCAGTATTGAACATAATTGGATTATGAGAATTGACCGACTCATATCTTTATTTGTGATAGATGCGGTTAGAGTAACGGAAGTAAAATTTCATCAATTAGATATATATTATTAAGCGATAAGTAGACTGAAACGAAAGTAATATAATCAAGTTAACGTGAAAAAAATTAAATTATCACAGATTTAATCAAGTTAAATTGATAATGTTATGAAAAGATTAATAGTTGTTAGTTGAAAGATCTAGTGAATACTGGGAAGAAAACATTATGATAGTTTGATAATTGCATATTAGATTAAATTGATTGCGAAATTAAAAATACAAATTTACCTAAAATTTAGATGAAATAAATTACTCTGGTGTGTTTCTCCTGATAATTTTTCTAATTTTAATTATTTTGCTTTGATTAAATTGTTTTAATTTTTATAAAAATTTAACTTCGATTTCTAGATAATAGTAGAATTTTTACAATTTTGGTACTTGATACATTGGACAACACTCTACTTATAACTTTATTATTTGAATGATTTCGTGTACGTACGAAATCGCCAGTCTGACCATATTCTAATTTATTATGGATAAGGAGATATCACTGACACAAAATGTTGGGGGGTTTAATAATTCTAAGTAGCAAATCATAATCTCTTGAGATTATTACGTGAAATGTGATACTATTAATAAGGGTAAAATATTTGTCACAGTCTATCTTGCAATAGAGGTTAATCTTTGATTTTTTTTTTTTAATTTTATATTTTAAATTTTATATTGTTCAAATAATAATTAAATATTGTTTATTATTTCTGTAGATTTTTTGATTAAAAATTTAGATTTTGAAACAATTGTAAATTGAAGAATTAACTTGTGATAGAAAAAAAGTTTAGAATTAGATTAAGAAAATGGATAATTTGCCTTGTAACATTTAAATTTTACATAAATTATATTGAAATAAAAAATGACAGATAAGAAGCGTTGGGAGGAAATAGCGTGCAGAGTTTTTTTTGGGTTGGAGATGCGAAGGTGTTTCCAAGTCACTGGAAAAGGCGCCAAAAGCGAGGAGGAGCTCTGCAAACTCTTGGCTCTTTATGCGTCTACTCCCATCTCTTATTAAATATAAAACAAAATCTCTTGTGGGTGAAGAGATAAACATGAAACAAACGTATATATATAGTAGTAATTTTGTATGATTACAAAAATCAACACAAGTGGCCGTGGGTAGCACAGAATTCTTATCAGATGTTAGGGTTCCCATTTATATATATATATATATATTTTTTTTAAAATGATAAAAAAAAAAAAAGTAAATTTTATACAAAATAATGAGAAGAAAAAAAAAAAAAGTGTATATATATGATTTAAATGAGGATAAGAAAGTATAGAAGAATACTTATAGTAATTAAAGAGAGAGATTGTGTGGAGGGACAGGAAATCTATTTTTGAAATGGCGTGTTTGTTTGTTTATTAATTTATGACAGAAAGCCCAAACCAATAAATTCATCCAATCATTTACATTATCATCTTTTACCAAACACTCCATGTTACTTGTTCCCTCCCTGATACCAACATTCACTCATTTCATTTATCAATATATATATATATATATTTCTGAAGTACACACACATACCATATATCCCAATGAATTGATTACCCAAAGCAGAAATCAGATTTTGTAGAAGGTAACTAATATAGATTTTACACAGTTAATTTTTGCCAATTATTCAAGCTTCTTTCATCATTCCAACAAAAAAAAAAAAAAAAAAAAATCATAGAAAACTAATTAATTTTCAAACCTACACACTTTTAAACCAAACATGTATCATACAAAATACTCCAGCTTTCTAGGTTTTTGAATTAGAAATAGGAGGTTGTTGCAGCAGCTGCTGATACATAGCTGCCATCCTGCCGTAAACATCCATGCTCATTGGCTGCAAATTCGTAATCATGGTTAATACTTATTAATTATCTTATAATTAAGCATAAGATGTTCACCTGGGAATGGCAGGAGAGAAATGCAGACAAGGGATCGGGCACAATTGGTGTCGATGCAGGTTGGGAGCGTTCGAGGGAAGGGTCCCAAGGCATGATAGGGATGAAAGGGTTGGGGAGGACGGGAGGGATGTTAGGGCGAGTAATGTCCATCATCCCCATTCCCATTCCGAGCCCCATTGGTGTCATCATCGACATCTGAAGTTGCTGTTGCATTGTCATCGGCATCATCATCGGTGACATGCTCATTCTACTCATCATATGTACTTGTGCTTGCAGTTGTTTCAAATACTCTATCACTTCATCCAGCATTGAAGCCTTATCAGTCTGTTTTACACATCAATTAATCTTCACTCCATAATTACTACATTACAATATACCTCTCTCTATATATATAATGTACTAGCTAGCTAGTAAATAAGGTCATGTTACTTATATGATCTACTTGACCTTATTCATCAATATCATGCATGAAAAAGAATATATAATTGAGAAAAAAAAAAAAAAAAAAAAAACATTACATTACTTAAAACTGTACTGGGTAAGTATTTTCAAGTACTATTCCAAAATTAAAAAGATCCTAAAATATATTATACATATAGATATATATGGCGGATTTTGCAGAGGCATGAGGACCTACCATAAAGGGGATATATGTGGTAGAAGGCCAATGTCTTCACACCAAACAACCTTCTGTCATGCTGTCCCCATGCCAATTTTAGGTTTGTGGACTACGATCACTTTTCCATTCTAATTTTCTCTCTTCTTTTTTTCTTTAGAAAAATTTTATCAAGTTTAATTTTCTCCTACCTCTCTCTCTCTCTCTCTCTCTCTCTCTATATATATATATATATATATATATGTTTGTTTTTAGGAGAGGAGTATTAATGGAAAAATCTTTACATATTGATGATTTGATACATCCTGATATGTGGTTGCCTCTATTCAATTTTGACCCAGTTTAAAAAAAAAATTACACAACGGTAATTATTAATGGGATAATAAATTTTTTTACCGAGATAATTATTTTTAAAGAAAAAAGAAAAAGAATATATGGGATAATAAGTGGAAACTTTTTGGAACAGCAATAGTTGTAATCATTGTGGGTCATAATAAATTCTCTTTTTACATATATAGATATGCCTAACTATCTTTTCTACTTTTTCATACAAGAAAATTTTTTCATAATCTTATTAACTAATTAAAAAACAATTATTATTATGAACTCCAAAAGTATAATTGAGTTTTCTAACTGGGTAATTGTTATTATAATTACTTTTTTGAATATGAACAAAAAAAGTTAAAAGAGAATCCATGATTTGCATATATATATATATATATATACATACATACATATAAGAAGATAAGAGCAATATATATACGAGTGTGACTCCACCTACAACTAAAATTTCGACGTAGTCAACCAGGCTGGATTTGTAATTAATGTACCTTACTGGAATTGGGAACCAGCTTCTGCAGAGTCTTCATTCTTTGATTTATCTTATCTCTCCTCTTCTGCTCAAGTATTGTATAAATAAATATATTCATTAATCTCATACATATATATATATATATATAGATACAAAATTAGTACTGAAATCTCTACACCCAATCAAATTCTTCAACAGGAGCTTCAATTTTTTATTTGCTTAATCATCATTTCACACCAAACCCACAACATGATAATTAACAAGAATCAATCACAAAATAAAAAATTATAATCTTCTGTATCCATCATGACACCCAAATCAAATAAAATATTATATATAGATATATTTGAGTATCAGCAGAGAGATAAAGAAGCATACACGTTCGGATTGGTTATGAATAGCAGCCGCTCGACTCCTTTTAGTTGAAGCCGATGATTTTCCTCTTGCTTTCAGCTTCTTCTCCTCCTCATCACATGTGTCTCTCTGTAAAATGGCAAGAAACTTCAATTTTCCATTCATGGTTCTGCGCCAATACTGTAAGAAAAATAAGGCCCCGTTTGGCCAAAGGCAAAATCTACCATTCGTATTTTTTTACAACTGAGATCGGCTATTCCTACAATTTTTATATTTAGCTTTTAATAAAATCTCAAAAGCTTGCCTGAGATCGGCTATGGCAAACGGAGTCATGGTCATCGGTAGTGGTGGGTTTGGCGCAGAGCTTAGCCGAGCTGGTGTTTTCCGGCGAACCCATTGAAGTCGAAGTATAACCCACACCAACATCTCTCTCGTACGTGTCAAAAGTCAACGGCTGAGTAATCCCGAACGTCGCACTGCCACTCACGCTCTGGTCTCTTCCACTCCACTCGCCGGCCACCGCAACACGCGCCGCCGTCCTCACTCGTCTCCCCCCCTCGTCCTGGGTGCCTGCTGGACCGCTACACGACCCAACACGAGTGGAAGACCCCACAACGCACGTGCCTCCGAGGCCAGTAACAGAGTCAATCACGTGCGTAGTACGTTCATCGTTAGAGCAAGGGACGAGAGCGTCCATAGTCATTGTGGCGGAGTTGGCTGCAGTGGAACCAGCACGAAACCATGGGACGAGTTCATCGGCGGGAAAAAGCGTAGCAGTAGGCTTGGGTTCGGGCAAGCGTGTGGCTTGGTTGACTATAGACTCAAGTGTACCAGTGGCTCGTGGCTTGTCCCAATTAGTGAATGGTTTGGTGGGGACGCGCGGCGCACCCAGACCATGAAGGGTGACTTGGCCGTTCTCCCATGTGAGCTCAGCAACTTCATAGTCTAACATTGGGACATCAGGAGCAGTAGAATTAGAGTTTGATAGGCGAGGATGAGTGTGATTATCATCAAGATCCCAGCTAGGAACACACTGGCTCATATTTAAAGTAGAAAGAATTTGTTAAGAGAAACTAAAGAGAGTGATTGATTCTCTGCTTTTCAACAGTATAGTACTACTCCTATAGACATGCAGCTTAACTTATTTTGATTTGGGTAGAGATAAGAAGAATAGCTTTTTGAGGAAAGAAAGAGAGAGGGGGAGGGAGAGAGAGATTCTGGTCCATACATGATGTTGGCTACGAAGGAGATGGAAATTGAAGTTTTGGGGGTGAAGATTCAAATGGGTGTCAAATGATTAGCCAACTATTCCATTATATATATATATATATATCTCTCTCTCTCTCCCTCTATATATATATATATATATATATAGAGAGAGAGAGAGAGAGAGAGAGAGAGAGAGAGAGAGAGAGAGAGAAAGAGAGAGAGGTGCCCATTAAAGGAAAACAAAGACAATGAAAAGAGAAATTGGCTCATGGGTTTTTTTTGAATCAAATCATGTTGAAATTGGAATTGAAAGAGGAGAAAGTTTTGGGTAAAATTAGATGACGAAATTGAATGGGATAATATTTAAAATCCAAAAACCCAAAAGGAAAAAATATGTAGTTGTGTTGTGTGTTGCTCAAAACAGTAACACCTGGATTGTGTATGCGTGCAACATCCGGAACCACTCCTATTTTTGTCTCAACATTACTTATAATCACTCAAATATAATTTTTTAAACCTTATTATCCATCATCTAAAAGACAAGTTTGAGATAATATCAACATACACAATGCATTGTTTTTGGTCCAAGGGTCTGTGTCTCCGTACCTTGATTTTTTTTTTTTTCTTTTGATACCGAGAGAGAGAATTTACATTTTACTCCCTTAATTCAACTAATAATTAGGTCTATTTTAGTACTTTTTGGTTCCATCTTTTGCTTCTGCGGTTAAAAACTTGCAGTTTGATCAAGCCTTTTTTTTTATTCTTTTTGATAAAGATAAAATTAAAAACTAAAAATAAATATTTTTTTTTCATTTAAAAAAAAAAAAAGACTTGTGTTATAAGAAGTGAATAACATTTTTAATGTACATATTTACTATTTTAAACTTTTACTAATTAATATATTTAATATTTAAAAATAAAATTAATTTTTATTAATAATTTTATGTTAATAATAAATTATCTAAATAATATTTATTTTAAAAGTAAATAAAAATAACATTTATATTTAAAATATAATTAAAATAATTAATTTTTATTATTATATAATTTTTTATTATTTCAATATTTATTATTAATTATATAACATGATTAACTAAATGTAATATAATATTTATATTACTATTTTCTTTTACCTTAAACCTACTTTTATTTGAAACTATTTAAATCAGTTTTTTCAACTCACGACAGAAGCATAAGCCATATCAAATTGATCCTTAATTTTTTTCCGATAAATGTTAACTATTGATTTTATAAATTTCAAGATTGTGCTTTTAGTGTTGTTATTATCCCCACGTGCCTTCAACTCAATATTATTAGAAGTCACTAAATATAAAGGTGGGTGCCAAAATTGCCTCAAATATTGCTAATCTAGAAATACTTCAGTTGGTCTATTCAAGTTATTGCTACCAATTTATAAGATTAAAAAAAATTTGAAAACTTCATCATAATCTATATCGTAAGAAAATAGGTCTTTCTCTCTTTGTTGTACTTTTTACTAAAATATTATATAGCTAATTCTAAACTTCTTGAGCTAATTTGGCACTCATGACTTCTTTAATTTTTAAGTATAATATAAAGGCTTAGTAAGTTACATGTTTCAAAATATATGGGTCCAAAATACAGTCATTAATATATTCAGGTACATTCTAACAATTCTTATTTCATATCACAAGTTGATCTTTTTTTAATAATTTTAAGAATTATAACATATAGTAAGGTGACTCTTGTAGTGAGCTAACTAGAGCTTCCTAGAAGTTCTTTCAATTTTTTTTTCTAACTTTAATGCTTCCATCTTTTGGATTGGATTTCTATCGTCTCAATAAATTTATATTTCACATTATTACTAAATGACTCATGAGTTTTCCTTACATAACCTTAAACAATCTTTTTTCATAACTTCAATATAAGATTGTATGTTCCCACTATTGCAAGAAAATTTTATAGTGGTGGAAGGTTAGTTTCTTTATCCATCATATCATCTAAATAAACTTTAACTTCTATGAGGATAATGTTAAGAAAGAGCATTATCACCATTCTTTGCTATATTTTCCTTGTGTTCTTTAACTAAAATGACATGGCTTTATAACAGTATTTCCCATTTGGTAATAAAGGTTATCTTTACTTTTAGACTTCTGTCATTATTGCAACTGAAGGACCCATACATAAAGGAATATATGACACTTTGTATATAAAAATAGGTAATTATATTGTTATGAAATTAAATATCTAAAAAAGTTTTGCGTCGAAATTGTTTCTTATCTAAGCTAACCCTATTAGGCAATGATCTAAGGTAGTGGTAATAGTAAATTGATTAATCTTAGTAAATTAAAACAGTATTCTTCCTCTACTAAGAACTTATACGTTAATTAAAAGATTATTATTTCTTGCCATTACGTTATATGAGGTTATTAACGGTTAGTCCACCAACTCTACAACTTAAGCAAAATAAGTTAAAGTATGAACAACTATTTGAGTAATCTCTTATCTTTTAAAAGGGCATGACATCGTATTTAAGTTATTTCACTATTCGTGAGAACACTCCCTTTTTAATAAGGTCCTTTTATCTCATACGATTTTTCATATAGTTTCCAATTGGCTGCTTATATATAACATACCATAAATAGGAAATCAAACCCTTTTCTTTTATAAAATTAAAAATATATTTCTAACTACCACACTCTTTCAAGAAAAATACTACTATTACATATAATAGTAAACCTTTAAATTGTTGAAGCTTACTCAAAGTTAATTTATACTGCCTCCAAAATTTTATTAGTTAGCCCTCTGTTCAAATTGTTCAATATAGATTCTAGAGCTAACATTAACTGAATGAGATAAGACCGTAAAATGCTCTTTTATTATTCTCTTATTTGTTTTAACCCTATTAATTCTTTGATAACAATCTTGCTCATTTTTGCTATAGAAACAAAAGCTAA